AGTATGAGGGACTTATCAATAAAAGTAGTATGGATAAATGGGGATGTTTTGGTCAGTGAAGTAGACAAACAGGTAAAAACAGAAGGCCCTAACATATGTATGACAACGTTAGTGAGGTCACAGTGTGTTTATGATTTCAGTTTTGACACTGATTATTGGTTGATAGTCTTATACCATAACTGGGTCACAAATGACCCCAGCGCGGCAAGTGCGTGTTGTTCTATAAAAAATAAAAATTAAATTTAGTGAAAAAAAAAAATATATTTTTTTATTTAAATAAAGGTTCCAGACAAAGTCAAAAAGCCTTGATGCAAAAAAAAATATTTAAAAGACAGTATCATGTTTTAAAATTTAAAATGGGTCACTACGGACCCTAACATAGTAGGAAGGTTAAAAATATATAAAATAATTTTAAATAATCACTTAATCACTTTAATATCCACTTTAAAGATAGAAAAAAAACATGTTTTGTGTTAGCAGAATTTAATTCTAACTTTAAAACTTATCCAACATTAAAACTTCCCTCAAGTTTCCTTTTTGGACATGCATGAATATATTTGTACAAATTGTACTTGAGAGGAGATTATTACAGCCTCATATAAAATCTATAATGATGATGATATCAGAACGGTATCGGCAGACAACCAGATTTAGGTATCGGGATCGGATCGGAAGTAAAAAAAAAAAAAAAAAAAAAAAGTGGATCATGCATCCCTAGTATTTTATTGGCACCACAGTCCATGGTCCATGGGTATTCTATAGGCACCACAGTCCATGGTCCATGGGTATTTTATAGGATTGAGATCAAATTTTTGTGATGGCCACTCCAAAACATTGACTTTGCATCCTTAATCCACTTGTAACTCCATTCATCCATCATCTTTACCCACTTCTTCCTTTTTGGGTCCCGGTGGGGTCAGTGGTGCTCATGTCTAGCAGTCACTGTGCGAGAGGCGGGGAACACCCTGGACAGGTCTCCAGTCCATCGCAGGGACACATAGAGACAAACAAGACAAACAACCATTCACTCTTTCACTCACACCTAGAGATAATTTAGAGTTACCAATCAGCCTACCATGTATGTTTTTGGTATGTGGGAGTAAACAGGAGTACCTGTGGAAAACCCATGCAGCATGGAGAGAACATGCAAACTCCACCCAGAAAGATCCCGGACCGGGATTTGAATCAGGTCTACCAACTGAGCCACCGTGCTCTTTCACCATCTCGTCTGGCTATTTAGGGTCATCCATTTGACGAGCAGTTTGTGTCCAAGCTTTAACTTCCTGGATGATGTCTTAAGATGTTGCTTCAACACTTCTGCATATTGTTCTTTATTCGTGGTGGCATTTCGTGAAGTACACCAGTTTCTCCAGCAGTGAAACATCCCCACAACATAATTCTGCCACCCACGTTACTGCACAGTTGGGTTAGCTATTTCCTCCAGATGCAACAATGGTCATTTTCGGCCAAACAGTTCAGGTTTAGTTTGATCAGACAACAGGACTTGTCTCTCCAGAATTAGGGTCTTTGTCCCTGTGTGCATTTGAAAATGTTTTGAGGATCTTTCCCACTGTAATGTCTTCTTCCTCAGAGTGACCTTCAGCCTGTGGTGATCCAGGACTCTGTTCACTCTAGATAGTCATACTTAGTCCAGCTTCTTCACAAGCTCTGTTATCTTTGTTTTGGAGTTGAGCTGCACATTTTGCACCAAAAACCATTTGGAACTACAAAACCTGCCTTCTTCCTGAGTGGTGAGACGACAGGACGTTCGCATGGTGTGTTAATCTGTGTAGTTGAACAGATAAACAGAATCTTCAGGCATCTGGAAACCCAAGGATGAACCAGAGTTTGGAGGTTGATTCTACTCCTTTATATCTTGGCTGATTTATTTTGATTTACCCATGATATAAAGCAGAAGTGTGTCTGAAATGTGCCTCACCTTTGTGAATCCACAGGTGTGCCTCCAATTCACTCACACATTGTCAAGCAACTAATTAAAAGCATCATCATCTGGGCTTCTACTAATTGTCTAAGGACAAAGTAATGGTGTATGTAAACCTGGAACTTTAAAGAGAGTTGTTAAGAATTTTTTTTTGGATTATCTCTCCAAATCCGAGGCCATGGTCTTGAGCTGGAAAAGGGTAGAGTGCCCTCTCCGGGTCAGGGAGGAGGTCCTGCCCCAAGTGGAGGAGTTCAAGTATCTTGGGGTCTTGTTCATGAATGAGGGAAAAATGGAATGTGACATTGATAGGCGGATAGGTGCAGCGTCTGCAGTGAAGCGGGCGCTGTACAGGTCTTTCGTGGTGAAGAGAGAGCTGAGTCAAAAGGCAAAGCTCTCAATTTACCGATTGATCTACGTTCCCACCCTCATCTATGGTCATGAGCTTTGTGTTGTGACCGAAAGAACGAGATCTCGGATACAAGCGGCCAAAATGAGTTTTCTCAACAGGGTGTCTGGGCTCTCCCTTAGAGATAGGGTGAGAAGCTCGATCATCCGGGAGAGACTCAGAGTAGAGCCGCTGCTTCTCCACGTCGAGAGGAGCCAGTTGAGGTGGCTCGGGCATCTGTTTAGGATGCCTCCTGGATGCCTCCCTGGTGAAGTGTTCCTGACACGTCCCACCGGGAGGAGGCCCAGAGGAAGACCCAGGACACGCTGGAGGGACTATGTTTCTCGGCTGGCCTGGGAACACCTCGGGATTCCTCCGGAGGAGCTGGACCAAGTGGCTGGGGAGAGGGAAGTCTGGGCCTCCCTACTTAGGCTGCTACCCTGTGACCCGACCCCGTATAAGCAGAGGAAAATGGATGGATGGATGGATGGATGGATATCTCCCATGATTTGGGCATTTAGCAAACTAAAAGGTTTGAAGAATTGTAACTGTTTAGTTTGATTTAATGATTGACAGGAAACTAATGGTTTCATGTCTTTTTCCATGGTGTGTTTCAAGTTTATCTATTTTTAAAAAGCTGGTTAGGTGCTCGAGAGTTACAAAAGTAAGTGAAGAAGGATTGGACGGGTCCTGGGCCTATGACGGCTCTGTCACTTTATTATTCGCCCGTCGAAGGCGGCTTGTAATATGGAAAAACTGTTCTCTTGTCCCACCCATAACTTCTGATTCGGTAAAGATAATTTAACAAAACTTCATACCCTTATTCATCATGGTTAGACGGCGTGTGAATATAATTTCATCACTCACCTTCAAGGTCAAGGTCAGAAATTAAGGTCAAAGTTTAAAACAAGGTCTTTGCTTCTCCGTGCCATTACTACAGATTGCTGTATTGTGGGGCGGCTGTGGCTGAGTGGTTAGAGCAGTCGTCCTCCAATGCGAGAGTTGGGGGTTCGAATCCACCAGCAGTCACATGCTGAAGTGTCCTTGGGCAAGACACTGAACCCATCATAGCCTCTGATGTGTGTCCATCAGTGTATGAATGTGATCTAAAAACACTGATTAGTCTCATTAGAATGATTTGTTCAATTAGCTTTGTAGAGATCTAGTAGAATGCTGTATGAATGGGTAAATGAGGGCACAGATTGTAGTGTAAAGCACTTTGAGTATCTTGAAATAAGATAGAAAGGCGATATATAAGTAAATACAGTCCATGTATTATAGTTTGTTGATGGGTGTAAAATGTGTCATACGCAGTATTCTTTTTAAACTGGTTCAAATTCTCTAGTAGCGCAAGATAAAGTCGTTGCAACTCAGGTGATGGTCAAGAACCCCGTGAACATTTCAGGACATTCTGGACCCGCCCTTTCAAATATAAGTTGCAGTTTGTCTCCAACAGTTGCAGCCCAGTGAGACAATGTCCCCAGTGAGACACTGTCCTCAGTGGGATGCAGTCCTCAGTCCCCAGTGAGACACTGTCCTCAGTGAGACACTGTCCTCAGACCTCAGTGAGACACTGTCCTAAGTCCTCAGTGAAACACTCTGCTTAGTCCTCAGTGAGACACTATCCTCAGTCCTCAGTGAGACACTCTCCTTAGTCCCCAGTGAGACACTGTCCTCAGTCCTCAGTGAGACATTGTCCTCAGCCTTCAGTTAGACATTCTCCTTAGTCCTCTGTGATACACTGTCCTCAGCCCTCAGTGAGATACTGTCCTCAGGCCTCAGTGAGACACTGTCCTTAGTTCCCAGCAAAACACTGTCCTCAGTTCCCATTGAGACCCTGTCCTCAAGTCCCATTGAGACCCTGTCCTCAGTCTCCAGGGAGACACTGTCCTCAGTCCTCAGACACTCCTCAGTCCTCAGTGAGACACTGTCCTCAGTCCTCAGTGAGACACTGTCCTCAGTCCTCAGACACTCCTCAGTCCTCAGTGAGACACTGTCCTCAGTCCTCAGTGAGACACTGTCCTCGGTCCCAGTGAAACTGTCCTCAGTTCCCATTGAAACCCTGTCTTCAGTCCCCAGTGAGATCCTGTCCTCAGTTCCCAGTGAGACACTGTCCTCAGTGAGGCACTGTCCTCAGTCCTCATTGAGACACTGTCCTCAGTCCCCAGTGAGACACTGTCCTCAGTTCCCATTGAGAAACTGTCCTCAGCCCTCAGTGGAACACTGTCTTCAGTCCCCAGTGAGAAACTGTCATCAGTCCTCAGTGAGACACTCTCCTCAGTCCCCAGTGAGACACTGTCCTCGGTCCTCAGTGAGACATTGTCCTCAGTCCCCAGTGAGATACTGTCCTCAGTCCCCATTGAGACCCTGTCCACAGTCCCCAGTGAGACACTGTTCTTAGTCCCCAACGAGATGCTGTCCTCAGTCCCCAGTGAGACGCTGTCCTCAGTCCCCAGTGAGACACAGGGTGTATGTCTGTCCACACCCTGACTAGTCAGAGCAGTTTGACCCTTTCTGGAGGTCAGAAGGTCACAGCTGATTGGTGTGTTTTGTAACATATTTGTTGATACACCTCTTTACTCTTTGATATCTTAAACTGCATTTTCACCTCAAAAGACTTTAATGTAATTGCTTTTTTCCTGTTAATTTAACGTGGGTGTTTTGGATGTGCAGGAAGGAGCCCAGGAAGCTGCCCCCCCATCAAGCAGAAGTGGAGGCCATCCAGCAGGATAGCACCCAGATCTTCTACAAAATCCACTTCCCAAATGACACAAATGCTGTAAGACACATCAGAGTGCTGGCTTGTCTTCTGTCTGCGTTTTATTGGACAGATGAGTCTTTCTGTTTCTCTGCATGTCTGTTTTTCACTTTTTGCATTTTTCGGACTTTTGTTGTTCTTGGTATCATCTTCAAACTGTGAAAACAAAATTTTGCCTGCAAAGAATCGGTTCTAAATCTAATTTAAGGACAAAAGACGTTGGGTACGTACTGTAACCCCAGATTCTAAGAGTATAGGCGTAGGCCTTTAAGACTAGTGGGTAGCTACTGGGTTTTATCCCTAAGGCGCTTAGCGCTGCACTGAAAACTTTAGTCCACGCCCACCTGCTGTGTGGGCTTCTCCCCTGGTCCGTATAAATTATGGTTAGACCGGGTATCGGCTCCCAAATAGCTTTTTTCTTCAGCCATTTAGGAACCAGTGAGGCCCCACGCTTAAAGGGCTACCCCTATACTCATAGAATCTGGAGTTACAGTATGTAACCAACGTTCTATTTCGTATAGGCTTCGCCCTTTAAGACTGTCGCTAGTGGGTTAAAGGCAAAGCAGGATGTAGTCTATGCCTCACTGGGTCCATTCAGACACAACATGAAGCACCTGCTTGCACAAAAAACATTCCATCACTCAGCCTTCTGTGTATGTAATTACACGCTGCGTAATTGCGTGCCCCATGCGCAGGAGCGCACCAGAGGAGATCTCTGGTGAGGAAAAAGGCTGAGATAGAAGACCTGCTGCTGTGAATAGGAACAACAGAGGATACAAATTGTAACAGTGTAACGATGAACAGAGCAGACCAACAGCTCCACAGGATGAACCGATTAATAACGATAAAATCAGCAGTCATGAACTTGTGACTGATAATAAATATCTCACACTGCGACTGCATGCAGGCAGGTGTGAGCTCAAAAGTGAGGCTCCATGAAACAAATAATAATCATTCTGTCAGAACCTTGACAATAGAATGGGCCATGGAGAAAGACGAAACATCACGTAGATAAAAACGAATAATTGAACATGACGATGGCCAGGCAGCCGCCATACAAAATATCTTCCACTGTCATCCCTCCATGCAGAGCCATGAAGGATGAAAACCCTCTGGTGGAATGTGCCAAGATTCTCTGGAGGATCCAGTCCAGGTCAACTGTAAGCTTCAGAAATAGCTTCACACAACCAGTGTGAGAGGCGCTGGGTGGGTAGAGGACGTCCTGAAGGACTGTCCCAGTAATGCACGAACATACGCTGAAAACGGCACAGTGCGGCCATGTGCACCACGTAACATGACAAAATGCGCGCATAGGACAGAAGGAGGTGAGATGTTGTTGTATGAGGAATTATGGCATTATGAATTATGAGGAAGAGGATAAAAACCCATCCAAGTTTATCACTCTCGATCTGAGTGAGCTTGTGATGCTTTTCAGAGCAGGGTTAAAACGCAGTACAGCTGAACTGTCGTCAGCTTGAATTCTGAGACATGAGGGAGCAACAGAGAGAGCAGACAATCATTCACTCTCTTTGCCAACATCAGAGCTAACAGCAGGGCTGTTCTAAATGATAGAAATTTAAGTAAAACCTGATCTAAAAGCTCAGAAGGAGCTTTGATCAGAGTGTGCAGGACCATAATTAGGTCTCACTGTGGAGCTAGAGGACGTGACACCGGTCTGTGTCTCTGTACACATTTCAGAAAGTGCTTCATCAATGGGTGATTAAAAACTGTTCTGTCACCGAAACCTCGTGACAGGGAGAAATAGCTGCAGCATAAGTCTTAATTGTGCTGAACCCTAGATCCCTGTCCATCCGCTGCTGCAGAAAGGACAGCATGCCACCTAGTGGACATGAGATGGCCTCTACACTTTTCTCCCCACACCAATGCTGAGAAAAGCTGTCCACTTGATGTGTACAACGTTGTGGTGGAAGCAGCTCATGCGCCCTGAACGTACGCACCACATGCTGTAGGAGGCCCATCTTTTCTAAACGGATCTGTTCAGCGGACAGACCCAAAGATGCTGACCTATTTCTGGGTAACTCCTGATCGCTCTTCCTGCCTGGAGGAGAGTGCCCCCCCACAACAGTTTCCACAGCTGACCCGATATCAGTCGCTGCAGATTCGGGAACCACAGAACGCATATGCGTTCAGGAGCTACGAGGATGACTGACGGTTCTTCCTCCCGGACCCGCTCCAGGGTCCGTGATATCAGCAGGACTGGAGGGAACGCATAAAATAGCCTTTTTTTTTTTTTTGGCCACGGGCTGTGAACAAAGGCGTCCACTCCTAACGGTGGGTCGTCTCGTGGGCTCAGTGAGAACCATAATTAGCACTGGGCGTTCTCCCGTGTGGCAGACAGATCCACTGCTGCTCGGCCAAAACTGCTCCAAAAAACAAAGAAAAAACAGCTCGGGATGGAGGCTCTAGTCTCTGTGGTGGGGACCGCCCCTTGACATGATATCCGCTCGCCTGTTCAGGCACGCTGGGAAAGTACACTGCTCTGATGGAGAGCAGGTTCCTCTGTGGCCAACACAACAGCTGTTTTGTGATGCATAACAGTTGGGCTGAGCGCACACCTCCCTGACGGTGTATGTAAGCTGCCGTCATTTGTTGTCTGTGTGGATCAGAAAATGCTGATCCCGCAGCAGGGGCAAAATGCTGAGTCATGTTTCAGACGGTGAAAAAACATTCTAGTACATTTATGTGAAGCGACATGTGGTCCAGCCACTGTGATCCCACTGCTTGGGACAGACACATTCCTCCCAGCTTGACAGGAACGCGTCTGTGAAAACTGAGACGTGTGACGTAGGCCTGCTGATGGGAACTCCCTCTGACAGAATGAGGAGGTTTCCCCAGTGATTCAGATCGTTTCTCACGGAGGGGGGCACAAAGATAATCCACCTCTTCTGGCGCACAGGATCTATGCACAGGCGGGCGAACCATCTCTGAAGGTGTCTCATGTGAAGTAGGCCCAACGGAACCATGATGTGGGCCAGTGACATCATCCCAGGAGTCGCATGACAGGCAGAACTGTTACTATGCTGCAGGGTTTAACATGGCGGAGCCAGGTTTGACACAGCGGAGCTGAGCTGACAGAGCTTTGGCTCTCAGCTGTGATAATGGCCCTCATTGTAGTTGAGTTAGCTCCACTTCCAGATAACGATCATCTGGGACGAACAAACAGAAGTTTTCCCCAGTTTATAGAAACCCCAGGTTAGCAGGTGTAACACTAGTGTTTTGGTCTGTGTGACAGCTTTCTAACTGGACCGAGCTAATAAGAGCCATCATCCAGATAAAAGGATTTCTCATTCCTGCCATGTGTAACGACTGCAGATCCGTCTCCACGCATTTCAAGAACATGCGTGGGGTGTTTCAGAATGATTGAAATGTAAAATATGCGCTCTTTAGGTCTATGGAGGTGAAAACCCAGTCGTTCTGGTGAAGTTTTCCAGCAGCTGTTGGGAGCTCTGGAAAACACGTTTTTCGTCAGAAATTCTTGAACTTCTGACAGGAGACATGAGCTCTGTTCTGGAGAAGACAGAACCGTCGCTATAATCCCTCTGAAACGGTGGGGGTTGAGCTGTGAACTGCAGCGTGTAACCCCTTCTGATCAGATGGTCCGTCCATCTGTCCAGGGAACACACTCGCTGCAACTCTGAGTAGCGCTCGGAGAGCGGGCATTCATTCGTATTGTGTCATGTTTCTCATGAAGGTCAACCATACTAAAAAATCCTTACTGCCATCACTCGCTCCAGAGATTCTCCAGGGGAACTCAGCGGGGGCTCTGACAGAAAAAAGGCTGTATGTGTGCCTCTGTGCTGGGTCCAGGCTGCGGTCTCACATAGAGCTGAGGAGAGACGGCGCGCACCGAAGGAGGCGTGTGCGCTTCTGAGTGAGACGCCGTTTCGGTGGAGGCTCCAGCTGTCGTGGAGAAACATGTTTACTCCCGCTGAGCTGTGAGTGGTCAGAAAAACAGCAGAAATTAAAAATAGGCTCTGGCTGAGAGACGAGGGATTTTACCAGACTTGGTCTGCTGAAAAAACATTGTTTTAGCTGATGTTGCAGACAAGTGTTGTGATATTTACTGAACTGCGGTGCCTTTTAAAAACGCTGTTTAGAGGTTACTGGCTCGTTCTGTGTGGGGAATGTGTGAAGAGAGGCAGCTGAGAGATCAGCTGATCTGACAGACTCAGATGAAAAAAACTTTCAGAGGTGTTTCTGTTTTATATCAAAACATACATCATCAAAAAACACATACCTTCCCCTCAAGGATCTGTTACCTGGTGGAGGGGGCCGGCGGAGGAGCGGGGTGTGAAATCGCTGCTGCAGCTGTGAAGCGCCTCTGGTGCTGTTACTGGCCAAGGTGGTCCCTCCAGCGGCAGGAGGGGCAGATGGACTGTGACGTCACCAGACGGTGTACAGTCTCTGAGACCTCCTCGGACCTCTGCGATTCTTCAAGGATGGTCCTGAAGTTGGCCCCGAACAGCGCCTCTGGGGTGATGGGGCCCTCCAGCAGGTCTTTCTGCAGCCTCTCGGACACGGATGGTGAGAGGCGGAGCCAAGTGATCCTCTGGATCATGGTCATCCAGGCGGCGATGCGGGACAGGCAAATCGCAGAGGTTGCACATGTTTAAGATGACATCAGCAGCTTTACAGAGAGAGCTATTTGTCTCCTCCAGCAGGTCTGCTTCTTCCAGCCTCTTCGAGATGCTGTAGGCCAGCAGGGCGACGTTGTTTTTCGCTGTGGCCGTCTGGGATGATTACTGGTGAGCTCGGTTAGAGACTTTGTCACCCTCTGGTCATGCTTCCCTGGAGCAATTTTACCAGACTTGGTCTGCTGAAAAAACATTGTTTTAGCTGATGTTGCAGACAAGTGTTGTGATATTTACTGAACTGCGGTGCCTTTTAAAAACGCTGTTTAGAGGTTACTGGCTCGTTCTGTGTGGGGAATGTGTGAAGAGAGGCAGCTGAGAGATCAGCTGGAAGTGTTTTCCCACAAGTGCCACCCACCAGGCTTGGCTCCAGCGGGGGAGGGGGACCGAGGTTAAAACATCAATCGGTAAAACCCTCCACTCTGGAGATGGAGGTGAAGGTGAAGATTGCTGTCTTCAGCTTGCCAGCCCAGCTGCAGCCTCATTCCAGTGTGACGTCATAACTGGACAGCAAGGCCAGATGGGGTCAAGGCGATGAGCCTGGGCGGAGCCAACCTTGCCGCCAGATCATCCGATCAGGGCGGAGGGAGGTGAGGGACGGAAAGTCCCTTGTGTTAACATCCTCCTGGATTATGTCGGGCAGCTCTGAGAGGAGGGCACCGACGGCTGGGAGCAGTGTGGTCGCCGACGTTGGAAGATCCGAGGTGGCTGAGCATTCACTTGGCCAGTCGTCTTCCGTCACTACGCTCTCCAGGAGGGAAGGGGCAGCTCCGCTTCACCTTCTCGGAGGAGTCATTCGGTTCACTGCGTGACTCTGCGTCAAAGAAGGGGGTGATGTTGTCCCGCGCATAGCGTCCCGCCACAGAAAAAAAACATTCAGCGGAGCTGCTGCCAACAACGCCTTTTTCGAGGAAATCATCGGGGCGGCTGTGGCTGAGTGGTTAGAGCAGTCGTCCTCCAATGCGAGAGTTGGGGGTTCGAATCTACCAGCAGTCACATGCTGAAGTGTCCTTGGGCAAGACACTGAACCCATCATAGCCTCTGATGTGTGTCCCATCAGTGTATGAATGTGATCTAAAAACACTGATTAGTCTCATTAGAATGATTTGTTCAATTAGCTTTGTAGAGATCTAGTAGAGTGCTGTATGAATGGATAAATGAGGACACAGATTGTAGTGTAAAGCGCTTTGAGTATCTTGAAATAAGATAGAAAGGCGCTATATAAGTACAGTCCATTTACCATCCAATTTACCTCGAGAAAAAAACACGTTAGAAAAAGCGGTGGCATTGTCCAGCGATTAGCGGCCCCCCACGGAAAAACATTCGGCGGGGCTGCTGCTAACATCGCCTTTATCGAGGAAATCATTCGATTACCGCGAGGAAAAAACGTTAGAGAAGGCGATGGTGTCGTCCAGCGGGTAGCGGCCCGCCACGGAAAAGTACTTCTCGGCGCATACCTTGAACAAAGGCTGCTTGTCTGCTTCTCCTCGGGGAGGAATAACTCACCGGGACGGCAGGAGGTTGGCGTGGCGGGACTCAGGCAGCCTTAGCGAAGGTTGTGCCAGTCAAAGCTGGACAACTTTCCTTCTTCGTTCTTCTGACAGTGCTAGCTAGCTGGCTGAAGAAAAAATGGGATCCAATTCCTAGTCTCACCATAATTTATATGGACTGGGGGGAGAGGCCTACACAGCAAGTGGGTGTGGACTAAAGTTTTCAGTGCAGCGCTGAGCGCCTTAGGGATAAAACCCACTGGCGACAGTCTTAAAGGACGAAGCCTATACGAAATAGAATTACAAGTATTTTACTTCTATTGTAGACCTAAAACAAAACCATTTATTGATTTATGTAAACTATGAAACTATGGCCAACAGCAGGCTTACTTCAGTTAGCATAAAACCTGAAACAGTTATTGAGTCCGAGTGGTACCACAAAAACTGCCAGTTTTTCTTTTCTAACATTCAGCAAGAACCATTTTACAGTAAAAGTACCTTGATGAAGTACTAACAGTTAATAATGCAGGATTTAATTAAGCTGTAATCACTTGTTAACGGGCACCTCCAGAACTGTTTTAATGGGGTGGCCAGATGGAGGCCACTGAAAATCCTGCAGTGGCACCAAAAGCAAAAGCCACAAAATATTAAAAAAACTCTTTATAGGCTGAGGTGGTAAAAAGGTGAGTTGAAAACTTTGGCATTAGGAAAGTTAAGCTAGCTGATTTAACTCAGTTTCTTTTTGTTCCCTGTCACGGAATGAAAAGGAGGAATTGAAAATACCTTCTGTAAGTCTGTGCATGTTGTATGTGTAATAATTTTAAAAATAACAATAACTGAGGTACAGACTTCCATTTTGGTGTGTGGCTGCATCTAGGTGTAAGAATGGTCACTACCAAACACTGAGTTGCTGCACCAGAATCAATGGTGGTGTCAATTTGGCCTCCATTGATATCTGTAAACTGACCAATCTAATCGTTTGAGAAAAAAATGTTTTTTAGTTTTTATATTTTACTTAAAAGTATAGTTTCCTCAAATTATTGAGGATGCCCAAGATTAATCTATGGGGGCCAAGGCCACCACACCCTGGCTCTTCCACTGGACCTGGTGAATAATGTTTATTCCCTCTACTCACTGGGACCTGTCACTCTGCTCTGCCTCAGACAAGCAAAATGAAAACCTCCCTCTGTTCTTCTCCACAGTGTAACTCCGCCCCACTTGAATATGTTGCACCAAAAACTTTTAGGTTTGCTTCATTCCCTGTTCAATTCCATTCCAGAGAAACACTCATCTCCAAAACTAAAAACATTCACTATTCAAACCTTTCAGAGACGAGGGACATCATCACATCAATGTTTATATATTTATTATTGCTTTAAAAAGTGTTTACGGTCTCAGGATTACCTTCTTTCTGAATCATTAACAAATCCTTTTATTGTAAGCTGAAGTCTTGACTCAGATCTGTTGGACGACTCTGTGTGTTTTTGCAGTTGTTAGAGGTATCCTCAACAACCACCATCAGAGAGCTGCGCCTCAGCGTCGCCTCCCACCTCCACCTGACCTCAGCTAACGGATACGGCCTGTACATGAAAACACCACAAAAGGTGCAGTCGAGCAATGTGCCTGCACAACTTAATCCTCTTTTTATCCAGATTTTAACCCAGTTGTTGGATTCTATGTTTCGTTTTTTTCAAAGGAACATTTTAGATGTGAATTCCTAATTTGATCAAACCCTGACGCATGCTCAGTAATTCAGGTGGAAAAATCTAAAAATGTTATGTCAGGTCCTCTGGACGGGTTCTGATCATGTGTCTTAAAATGAGTGATAAGCTCGTCTTCCCTAGAACGTCCAGGGACAAATAAACATGCCATTTTCTTCTGTCTTTCTACAGATGACCAGCCTCGATGAGGACAAATATTTTTTCGACAATCTAAGACAGCCATCAGAACTTCCTAAAAAGGTCAAAAAAGTGAAAGAAGGTGATACATTGTGCTAACACTCAAGTTTTATACACCAATGATTTAAGCGTTTATAATTATCGCCTGCTGCTTAAAAAGGCAACATCTTACGCTGTTGTGCCCCTTGTGTGTCTGTTAGCAAAATATCTCATGAACCACTGGATATATTTTAATGAAACTTGCTGATAGGTGATTATTAGATGTTGGCCAAAATGAACTACAAGTCAGTCAGTTTCACTGATAATAAGCTAAAGTTTGATGTAGAAGAAGCTGAGAGTCTTCTTCAACTCGTATTTTGAGCAATAAATGTTGTAATAATTGTAAAATCCATACATTCATACATCCATTATCTTACGCTTGTTCCGAAATCCTTTCTGAGATCCTTCCTGCCCACAGTCATCAACATCTATAACAACTCTTTAATCAAACCAGGATGATGAGTTAGAACAACAATTTAATTTCTCTCTGAGATTAATAAAGTGTTTTTGAATTGAATGGAATTAAATTGAACTGAACTGAATTGAAGTCGGGTCTCGGGGGCAGCAGCTTAAGCAGGAATGCCCATACATCTTTTTCCACAGCCATTTCTTCCAGCTCTTCTGGGGGGACTCCAAGACGTTCCCAGACCAACCGAGAGACATAGTCTCTCCAGCGTGTCCTTGGTCTTCCCCAGGTGTCCTACCAGTCAGACATACCCGAAGCACCTCCCCAGGGAGGCGACATGGGAGCATCCTTACCAGATGCCCAAACTACCTCAACTGGCTTCTTTCGATATGGAGGAGCAGTGGTTCTACTCTGAGTCTCTCCCGGATAATTGAACTTCTCACCCTATCTGTAAGGGAGAGTCCAGGTACCCTGCAGAGGAAACTCATTTCAGCCGCCTGTATCCATGATCTCATTCTTTCTTTCGGTCACTACCCAGATCTCCTGACCATAGGTGAGGGTAGGAACGTAGACCGACCAGTAAACAGAGAGCTTTGCCTTATAGCTCAGCTCCCTATTCACCAAAACGGACCAGCACAGAGTCCACAGTACTGCAGATGCTGCACCAATCCGTCTGTCAATCTCACACTTCATTTTTCCCTCACTTGTGAACAAAACCCTTGAACTCCTCCACTTGAGGCAGAACATCACCCTTGACCCGAAGAGAGCAATCCACCCTTTTCTGGTTGAGGACCATGGCCTCAGATTTGGAGGTGCTGATTCTCATCCCAGCCACTTCACACTCGACTGCCAACTGCTCCAGTGAGAGCTGAAGTTCATGGCTTGATTATGCCAATAGGACCACATCATTCGCTAAACCTCAGAGAAGGAATCCTGAGCCCACCAAACCGGGCTCCCTCTGCCCCCTGGCTGCACTGAGAAATTCTGTCCATAAAAGTTATGAACAGACTTGGTGACAACGGGCAGCCCTGGCAGAATCCAACTCCCACCCTGACGGGGTCCGACTTAATGCTCCCAAAATGCAAACCAAACTCTTGCACCACTTGTATAGGAATGGAATCTTCTGATTCAAGATGGCGGCACCAGTGTGTTCGGCTTGCCTCTGTCTGCAAACGTTGTGTTGTTTTTTTGCTTTTATCATTCAGGGTGCCAACTCTGTTGGTGTATAATCGCCATACACTTTTAAATCTTCAACCCTGTTTTAATAACATGGCATCATTTGTGGCCAGAAAACTTTTTTCCCTCCATTTCGGTTGGACGTGCTGTCCTACCTGTGCCACGCCCCAGCTCCACCTGCATGGAGAGGGCACAGACGTTGCGTGAAATGTAGCGGCTGGCTGATCAGACTGAAAGTCTGTTTGGCATTGGCCGTTCTCTCTGATGGGTTTGGAGCTGCATCTAATAGTTTCATCCTGTGGTGCTCCTTGGATCCTATTGGCTCCTCTCAGGTTCCTGCTGTTGGCCTGGATGAGGGACAATCTGCGCACGGCCTCGTTTTCCCCCACCTCCACATGCGCGGAGTGAATCATCACAACCTGCTAGACCGAGCTCCTTGGATGGATTACACCCTGGCTCTGGTACCTGTTGTCGGCCTGGGTGGGGGGCAGCTGGTGCACTGCCTCTCCCTCCACTACCTACGTGCGCGCGTGGTGAATCATCACAACCTGCTGTTGCTGGACCGAGCTCCTCGGATGGATTACATCACCCCCGCTCCATCTCATGTTCACATGGCCCTGGTTAATGTTAGATCGCCAACTAACAAGAACTTTATTCTGAAGGATTTCTTCACCTCCTGGATCCACCTGGATTTTTAATTCATAACTGAAACATGGATAACTTCCAGTGATTCCAGTGCTTTTTGTGAACTCTTGCCACTAAAATGTACCTATTTCAGCTCTCCCAAGATGACTGGTCATGTAGGAGGAATAACGACTGTTTACAGAGAGAGATATCTCTGTAAACAAATAACACCTTAAACATTTTACTCCCGCTTTCAGTTCAACATATTTCAGCTCGGATCTTCACACCGGGTGCTGTGTGGTGCTTTATACAGACCTCCAAAATATTCCAAAGACTTTCTGACTGACATTGCAGATATTTTGGCAGGAGTCCTGCTTAAATATGACAGGATCTTAATAGTTGGAGACTTTAATATTCATGTGTGTTACACTGATAAACCGTTGGTCAAAGATTTTTTTACAGCCTATCACTTCTTTAAATTTTTTTCAGTTTGTATCTGGTCCAACCCAAGAATGTGGCCACACATTAGATCTTGTTTTAGCTCATGGTTTTAATGTTTCTAATCTGGATGTTTGTGATGTTGCTTTTTCAGACCACATGCCTGTGTTGTTTGACATGTCACTTGTCTGTCACTCAGTCAAACTCCGCATTCCTGCACAGCCCTGCTGGGTTGTTAACTCCTACACTGTTGCTCAGTTCTCTGCAGTTTTTAATTCTGCCATCAACTCCAGGGATCCTGTGGATCCCTGTTCAGATGTTGAGGCTCTCTCCTCTCATTTTAACTTGGCTTGTCAGACTGTTTTAGATGCTGTGGCCCTATTAAAGATAAGATCTTCCAGACCGAAGCCTGACCCCTAGAATGATGATGTCACATGTGCTGCCAGACGCCACTGCAGGAGAGCAGAGCAAAACTGAAAGGACAAGTTACAGGTGTCTTTCCAAGCATTGAGGGACAGCTGGCGTTTCTATCATACAAAAAAAAAAATAATAATAATAATTCTCTGGCATCATTTCCTCCAATTCCAACAATCCACATGTGCTTTTTAAAACCATCAGCTCTGTTCTTAATGCCCCACAATCAGCCAGCCCAGAGAACTCAGCTGAAGTATGCGAGAACTTTCTGAGCTTTTTTACCAACAAGGTTACAAACATTAGAGCTCTAATAAGCCCTCCTTCTTGTGACCCCGCCATCTTTGTCACACACACCACTGTTTTCAATCAGCTTGAACTTGTCACCCTGCCTTTTTTAAAAGACATCACTGGTCGTATGAAGTCTGTAGGGGTTGAACGACTACATATTTTTTAAACTCGACATAAACATAATAAAACTCGAGTAGAACTCGAGTAGTTGATGATGTCATAGGATCTCAAGATGAAAAAATAAATAAAAAATAAAACCGCAATAAAACATCATTTATTAGTTACAAAAAAAACAAAACAAAGACCAACAAAACATTGGGAGCATATATTATGTTCCTACCATTTATCATACTGTAAATAAGTCACAGGAAAACCAAAACTATTCGTTATTATTATTAAGATGCAAAAGTGAAAGAAATAACGTGCGGCACATAAATAAACAAAACTAAAAACAGTGGGGCGGAGGACCACCCCACACCACCGCCAGCTATGGTGCGCATTAGGTTTAGTCTTAGAGATTAATATGTTTATAGGTTTTTTTATAGGTTTAGAGATTAATATTTTTTGCTTTTTGTTTGTGAAACAATGTCAGAGGTAGCTGCTTCTGGTTTGGTCATTGGACCCGGTGTTACACCTTATTCTGTTACCTGCAACAGTGCATGCAACACAGCCCCCTACGGTCACAAAATACGGTGGTCACAGAATATAGTGTAACACCGGTTTGCAACGATCTCCAAACAGTCAGGAAGTTGATTCATTTTCTGTTTCCTTATGGTAGTTGAACCGGAAGATTCATCTTTAGTGAAATATTTCCAGACTATTGATGCATTTCTACCTGTTTGCCAAGACTGGGCCTGCTCCGCTCAGTCCATCTGCTGGGAGGAATCCATTTGGTAGCTTCTACTAGTAGCCCGGTGCAGATCACGTGACACAATGATGTCACTGCGAATACTCGACGTGAAATTTAAAGACTCAATAGATGTCCTAGGAATCAGCCTGTCGATTACTCAAGTAGTCTGTTAAAGCCCTAGAAGTCTGCTGGATCTCCAAATGATCCCATCCCACCTCATCTTTTTAAAGAGGTTTGTCACACGGTGGCTCCTTATGTGTCCCAAATTATAAATGGTAGCTTGGCAAGTTGACAGGTACCAGCGAGTTTTAAAGATGCAGTTGTGACACCACTGATTAAAAATTTCAGTCTTGACTCCACAGACATGTCCAGTTTTAGGCCAATTTCAAAACTGCCCTTTGTATCTAAGATTTTGGAGAAAAATGTGTACAGCCAGTTAACATCTTACATAAACGACCACAACCTTCTTGAACTGTTTCAATCTGGTTTTAAAACTCACCACAGTAATGAGTCATCACTGTTGAAAGTTTTCAATGACATTCTCTTAGCCACTGACTCTTTAATTTAATTTTAATTTAATTTAATTATTTCTATAGCACTTTACACAACCATGGTGATGGTGACCAAAGTGCTTAACAAAAAACAGTACTTAAAATGACAATAGGTTAAAAGCAAGAAAACACAACATAATAGCACAAATAAAACCAGAAATGTCACCACATATTTACGTACTAAAAGCTTGTTGGAATAAAAAAGTCTTAAGCTTCGATTTAAAAGGGCCAAGTTCAGTAATCTGACGCAGATCAAGTGGGAGCTTATTCCAGAGTCGAGGTGCGGCCGCAGAAAA